TTAGAGGTAGATGGTCCTAATTATTTTTAGTTGTCAATAAACTCAGAGATGGAACAGGTGTCATGAAAGAAATGTTGGGATCTAATTGGCTCTGGGGGTGGGCGCAGAAATGAACAGTAATCATCCCTATGAATTGAAGGATCACGGTTAGCAGGCGTTGCAGATAAAGCCCAGTGTGATGTGGGGCAATTAATCTCCCGGACAGTTTTCCCAATCTATAAACTAAGGATAGTAACAGTTGTCAAAATTAGGTAAGTCAATGTAAAGTGCATGGTACTGTCCCTGACTCTTTAATGGACAAAAAAAAAAACATTACTTCCTGCCTACTGAACTTGAAGGAATCAGGAGGCTTTGCTGAAATTAAAAATAGCAAAGTTTTATTCAAGGATCTTGGAGCTCACAAACCTGAAAAACAACTAGGCAGTACCTATTCTGAAGGAGAAAAGAGTGAAAGTTTTTATATAGTAAAAAGTACATTTTTGAGAAAAATCAGTCCTGCATTCTTAGACTCGGGATTGATCCAAGATGGAAATTTTTCAGGTATCTGGTGGTCTGGTTAATGGAACATTTCTAAGTTGTTCAGATGGTTATCTGTGGAGTTAATGTACATCCAAGCATTGATGCACAACTGAAAAGTTTTACGTTCTCAGGCTAGTTAAAACAAAAACAGAATCATATCCTCTTGCCTCAGCCTACTTGATTTTTAATAATTTAGCAGCTTGACCATAGTGACTCCATTTTATTTCTTCACTCTTTTTCTCATTCCTTTCCACCAATTTCCTTATTTGAACACAGATCAGAACTAGTAGCTGGGAACTGAGCGGTGTCCTATTTCCACAGCATTAAGCCTCTCTACCTCTTTAGTTTGAAATATAGAGGTATAAAATGTGGGTTACAGATTTTGAGACGCAAAATCTGAGAATAAGTGTAGTACAATTCACTGGCATCCTCTACAGTTCAAAGTCAACTTTTCAATAATCCCTGATTCACCGTTATAAAGGCATTCCTTTGCTATAAGGTATTGGTCCCAACCCCTATTTCACCCACCCAATCCTACCAGTTTACTCAAGCCCCAAAGGCCTCACTAGATTCTTCTTGCCCGTGCACATACTCTGCCCCAGCCCCCCACAAACTTTTGGTCAGATCTCCCCTTGTACCCATCATAGGTCTGATGCCCGAAGTGCCCATGTCATTCACATCACATCTCCCAAACCATGGCACAGAGTAGACCTGAGCAATTACGCTGGAATAAGTTTTCTGTGAAAACTTGGAAGGCAGCCTGGTGCTGAACTCAACAAATTTAAAAGGCTCCGTCCGCAAAAATGGACTTAGCTTTTGTGTTAGGCATTACGTTGTTCTAATGTCCTTGACATCCAGTTATTCTTTCAACAAATAATTAACCTGCACCAAGTATGCGCTAGGCTGGGAAGAGGAGGTCTGTAAAGAGACGGTGGGAGCTGTAACCGCCTCTGAGACAGGCTCACTGGCAAGGTCCCCTGCGCCTCACCGGTGCCCCCACGTGGGCTCCCTCCTGCCTTTCCCCACGCGGGGGCGAGTGCGGGCGGGCTCTCCAGCCCTTCGGCACACCCGATTGGCCAGGCCTCGAGCCTGACATGCGCGTGCGACCGCGGCGGGCGCTGCTGCTGACCAGCTAGCCTGCAGAGTAACCCCAGCGGGCGTGGCCTGCGTGCTAAAGGGGACGGAGGGTGAGAGGGAGGGCTGCTTCCGGGATAGCCGCTCCGCCCCCACGTGGACCCGGGGAGGCGAGAGTGCGCCACAGCGGTAGCGGGAACGCGGTCTTGGAGCCCTTAGGGAGGCAGGTGAGCGGGGGCCGGACTCCGGGAGATGGCGGGCTTGGAGGAGGGGACTGTG